CCCACTCTTTTGGTCTTTGCGAAATTTTTACAAAAAGTAGGAAAAACGACATACTTCCATCAAAAGATCGATAACAATAATCATTGCTGAAAAAGAAAATACATGTAACACATGTACATGTATGCTTTAGGTTATAGTGTTAGATACTTTTTCCTCAAGAGGTTATAGTAGTTACATTGAGAGTGCCTGATCCGCTAATATGAGTCGACGGATAACAGCTTGCAAACTTTGCCTAGGAAGTTATAGATTAAAACATTGCAGAAGGCTTGTCGACGGTTTGAGATAGCAACTAGAAGTTTCGACTCTTGGAGCTCTACTTTAAGACCAGATGGTTTTTTATATTTTTACATCTTGGATATAGATATAAATAACTAGCATAGAGTTTTAGTCTAGATTATTTGTAGTACTATATAATTTTTACAATTCTGCATGGGTTTAATAGTGCCATCTTTGTTTTGTTTTGTTTTGTTTTCTTTTTTCGTTATTTGTTTTATTTGATTTTATTGGTTTAGGTGGACCAGAACTTGACGCCGTAGTATTTCTCTATTTTTGTTTTGCTTTTTGCATTTTATGTTTGTATTTCATTTGGTAAAAAGGAAAGCTAACTTTGATACAGTGTGTAACACCAGCCTATGACCAAAGGATAACCTTTAGTAAGTTAGGGGCCCAGAGAGAGGCTTGAAGTCTACTGAGACAAGTCATATCTGATGAAAGCGTGGGTAAGCTACTTTACGGGTAGATTAGTATAACTATTATTAGGGAATGTAAATTTTTTAATTTAGTTAATCTACAAATAAAAAGTGGCAGGACTGCTGAATTATAAAAAAAAATAAAGTTGTAAAGCTTATCAAGATATAACTAATAGTAGTAAGAACATTAAAATTAATTTGATAGTTCTTGAGAAATCTTTAAAAATATTTTATTAATATATAAAATTTCTTTAATAGATAATAGATTTTTTTATACTAAGTTAATTATCTTTAAGTCTTTAAATAAAGTTTAAAGCTTATTAAAATGAATCTAATAATAGTTAGATCATTAAATCATTAAAATCAGTTAGTAGATGCTAAGATATCTTTAAAAAATGTTTTGTTAATTACAGTATATAATGAATTTTTATATAATTGATGAAATGTTTTTCAAAAATATCTTAACATTTACTAAGCCAATTTAGATAATTCAACTACTATTAGATTTATCTTGATAAGCTCTACAACTTTACTTAAAGATTCAAAAATGATTAATTTAATACAAAAAAAATTTTCTTAGATAATTTCTAAAAAAAATTTTTTTTACATCTATAGTAATTTACATATAAAACTGCATTATATTAGGGATGTAACAAAAATCAAGTAATTTTATAGATGAGGAGAGAAAGTAAAAAATTTAAAATTATATATAAAGACCTGATCAAAATATATATTAAGAGAGGGGGAAGGAAGGGTAAACTTCTGATAAAAAAAAAATCAGATGATAAATGACACTGCCCTTACATTATAATTATTCTTTAGTTTACTGAAGAATTATCAATTAATTAGTTATTTGAATTATTCATAAGGACCGGCTCAGAACCGAGGACCAGTTAACCATAAGACTGGTTAAAAAGACCGGTCCTTATTCTAGTTGTACTCTGAGATTCTGTGATCACGTGATGTGATTTTCGTGTTGCGGTTACTTGCCCGATTTCGAAAAATTAAAGCCCAAAAAGTGTCCACAATAATATGGTACTCTCCTGTATATACAGTATATTGTATATAATGACTTATAAAAAACACTAGATTTTAATAAAAAAAAACCTCTAAAATTTTAATATAAATTATAACACATATTCATGTTTTATACTACCTCCAAATTCAGCGCTATTCAGCGCTATGTAATTATACAAAAAAACTTCTCGAACATTCTGAAGAATTCACTATAAAACTTTTGTACAACCCATACGTCATGCATCAATTTCAGATAGCTTACGTGGCATCCTTATCAAGACAATTGTGTAATTGGATAAATTAATATAAAGTGGAAGTAACGAAACCATTTTGTAAACACTTTTTGCTTAACTGAAGCTCGTCAAAATGCCAGAAATAACTATTAATGTCAAATGTTCTAACGACCAGAAATATAGCGTAACGATAGATACTTCTAAAACGGTGCTAGAGTTTAAGCAAGCTATTGCAGAAAAATGTGATACTACTGCGGATAGGCAAAGATTGATATATTCTGGCAGAGTTTTAAAAGACAATGATACGCTCGAAACCTATAAGATCGCAGAAGGTCATACAGTCCATATGGTGAAAGGCTCAGCTCCTAGCGGTATGTTTTTTTTTCATTTGTTTTTGTAAGCCTCGCCACCAATGTCCAGCATGACAGCAATGAAATCATTTAAACATTATAATAAGCAGACATTCTAGGGGTTTTTACAGCCACAAGTGAATTTTGGTTATATTATTTTATATTATTTTTATTTTACAAATCTAACTTCCGAATTTATAATATATCCTGGTATTAAGGCTCGTCACAAACACAACCGTCCCAACAATCACAATCCGCAACAGCGGGTAACACACAGACTCCACAGCAACCAACGGGTTATTCACCTAATCCATTCATGATGGGCGGATTCAATCAAGGTGCAAATCCTTATGGTTCTCCATTTGGCACTACTGGTACTGGTGGTTTGCAGGGCGTAAATCCGTTGGACTTCCTCCAGAATCCTGCGATAATGCAATATATGCAACAAATGCTTCAAGATCCTCAATTCGTTGAAAGTATGATCCAAATGAATCCTCAATTCGCACAAATGGCACCTCAGATTAGGCAAATGATGCAAGATCCAGAGTTTCAGGCGATGATGTCGAATCCTGAAACTTTGAGGAGTCTGGCTGCTTTACAACCACTTATGGGAAATCTTGGGCCATTCACTGGTGGAGCAATACCTGGATTTCCCGGATACAACATGCCAGCAACTACAGGTACAAATCCAACAACCAGTCCAAGCACAAATCCAAGCACAAATCCAACTGCAGGAAATACTACTGGCACTAGAAATGACACTACAACGGGATCTACACCTACAACAAATACCACTACTCCTAGTACCACTACACCAATTACGCCTATTAACAATCCGTTTCTTCCGTTTTTTAACCCTACTGCACAAGGTGCAGCAGGCACTGGAACTAATCCCTCACAACCTCCTATGATGCCCCTATTCGATCCCTTATTGTGGGGAGCACTTGGTGGAGTGCCGCCTACCACTACTCCTACCACTACTACCAGCACCACTACTCCTGCACCAGCAACCCCACAAGTGCCCCCAGAAGAAAGGTTCCAATCTCAACTTCAGCAATTGAATGATATGGGATTTGTGGATGCACAAAAAAATATTCGAGCATTACAAATTTGCCAGGGAAATGTGAATTTTGCTATTGAAAGACTTTTAGATCCTTCATTTTAACAATGCAAAGATTTATAAATTAGGAGGAGAGCCCTTAACGTAGATCCGTTTATCCTAGACTGGGGTAGCTTGAAATATGTTAATTAGTGCTTAACATTTTTTGTTTTAAGTTATTCAAAAAACTGTATATTTTTTATAAAACGTCTAATAAAAAAATTTTAAATACATAAATAAATATTGCGGTTCAACACAAGGAATACCCAACTTTAGACGTTCACGTGAGGGACTTTTGTGGTAAAAGGGACAGAAACTCGAATATATCTAACAGGGAGATATTTCTTATTTAAGTGTTCAAAATGTTGAAATTACTAGTGAGGGAGGGAATCCTTAAATCAACACGTAAAATAGATAATTTTTAAGTTGTTATAAAAATAACTGGTATAGCTAGAACGATTTTTCTTTTTATAAAAATGTAAAGAAAGACTTAAATAATAAAGTTATGAAATTTGTTTTTTAATTTATTAAGTTTTAATACTTTTGTAAAGTTTCAAAGTTAGCTATTTTTATTAATAAAATCAAATTTGGACTATAATTCTGGCCAATGTTATTATAATTCTGGCCAGAATTATAAAAAATTTTTTAAAATTGTATAAGGTTACACAATATGGTTTTTGAAATTTGGCCATAGGAGGAAATTCGTTTGTTGGCTGGTGTAGATCAATTGCCCGGGTAACTTATTTATATGGTTTAAAATATTTTTTGAGAACGTGACGTTTCACTAAGATTCATTGCAAAACATCATTAATTAGCTTTAGAAGAACATTATCCTTCACAGCACAGCTAAGCCTCCGAAATTCGAAACAACCACT